GATGGATGAATTTAATACCTGAGATAAGTGTACGGGTTTTTTTATAGGCGCAGTCTAGAAACTTTCCGATCGCACATCGTATATTGCAACTACAATAGAACTGGATCCCAGCGGCACAACAGCTTCGAGGCACAAGACGTAAGAAAATCAAGGGGTTCTGTCTTATTGCTTGTATTGAATATATTTGTTGTAAAATGACGGGATAAATTATTCACTTGAAAGCAACATTTGCCAATATTTTGTGTACTTCAATACACTGCATAGAGAGATTATAATACGATTTAGAGTTGTGAAACACTGTTTTCCACTCTGTTAATGATTTGTGTACATAGTAGGCCATGACCACGCAACAATAGTTTGTTTACGTTGTCTTTAAAATACAATCAACAAGATTGCATTCCCTTGGAAACGCTTGCAGTAAGAAGTTGAAAATTGGTGAAGGCAATATTATACAAAATGGAAGACATTGATATAGGTAAGTATTATATACTAGTTTGAATTTTTTTTAATTTCCTTTAGTGCATTCTTTTAGAGGTACGTTTATTCGAACATAATTGTGTACTAGACATGACGTCATAACTGTTACAATTTCCAACAATTCCCAGCGTCTATGCAGAAATCAGAGGTACATCAAGCAACAGAATAGAATTTATTTACATTACGTTGCTATTGAGAAACTGATAGTCACTCAGCAGGTCATGAAACTTCCTACTCCTTGTGGATGACAAAGATTCACTACAGTAAATCATATTCTAAGCCAGATAAATCCCTCCCTTAAACTTAACAAAAATTAACGCCACGCGTGCTAAACGAAGAACCCATCTCACTTCAAACATTCCATATCCCACTTATACAAACTGTAAGATGTTCGTCATGCAGTTTTCTTCAACTCCTTGTTGATCCTATTAGGCAGAATTAATTTTTTCTGCACTCCTTATTGGTAGTGTGCATTAAAGTGTATGTATTTTCTATCACGCCACGTTTGTTTTCACCAAATAAATAAACATCAGCAGCGTAGACTGGAAGCTGGTGCATTTCATTCACTCTACTTACAAGTTTAACAAAGGTGCATATACAAATTCGAAATGATAGTTATCTCTGGGTAAGCAAAGACGAATCGATTTAATGTAGTTAATCATCGGTTCTTCTGTGGCCTTAGATTCTCATATACATAGAAGGCCATGACCACACAACAATCGTTTATTTACATTGTCTTTAAAATACAATCAACTATATTGCATTCCCATGGAAACGCTTGCAGTACGAAGTTTATAATTGGTGAAGACAATCTCATACAAAATGGAAGACATTGATATTGGTAAATATTATATTCTATATATGAATTATTTTTAATTTCCTTCAGTGCATTCTGTTAGAGAAATGTTTATTCCAACGTAATTGTTATTTGGACATAACGTGGTAAGTGTTACAATTCCATTCAAGTAGGATTGGAGGTTTCCACGGCATTAAGTCTGAAGATTGCTGTCTTCTAGGATGTTGCGCCGTGTAGTCTGGTAGAAATTTACCGACGTTTCAGAGGTCCTCGCCTCCATCATCAGCGCAACAACCCAGAAGGCAATAATCTTCAATTTCCAACAACCCCCAACAACTGCACAAATCAAGAGTTATATTAAGCAACAGAATAGACTAAATTTGCATGTTAGGCCTAAGCGAAGGATGTGGAATATGTCACAGCACAAATACAATACTCTGCTCTTGAGAAACTCATGGTCACTAAGGTGGTCATGAAATTTTCCACCATTTGTGGACGACGAAGATTCACTCTGAGCTAGGAGAACCCTTTCCTTCTACACTCCTATAGACTTCGGCATGCTTGCTACACGAAGCACCTATTACACAGTAATGACTTAATAATCCCACTTGTTCAAATTACTAAAAAATCGAATTTTATTGTGTAATAATCGGAGCGTGGTAAATGTTATAATTACCATCAACTCCCAACCTCTATCAACACAACAAACAGATGGCATGATAAAATGAAGGTTTTTAGTGTACGATAATGACACTGTGCATTCATTAAAAGAAGGAAATTTTTCGAGCCGACCAGTAACATTTTCAAGGGCGACTACAATGTGATGTGAGCTTACACGATTATATTGACGGTGTAATATGTTCTTTCGCAGTGTTTGGTTATTGCAACGACTGACACCAACTATCACCTTCAAGAACAAAATGCTGTCCTGGATCAAACAGATTCTCGAGCAAGTAAGCACGGCGGTCCTACCCAAAAGCTCCTGCACAACTGACGTAGTCTGCTTCGTATTCATGATGTTCTTCATCTTTTACGTGTTCTGGGTATGTACAAGGTCGCTCTGTCTGCCTGAATGTGGCCTTATATTATTGTTCGTACTGTTAATACCACATTTCACCTCATTTTTCCAACAGCAGACAGAGTACAATTGTAAATGTCATTTTCCTTTCCTTCCAGGATTTTCTACCAGACATCAAAGGGCCGTGCCTGGTGATGGTGGCGAACACAAAACGCTATCTTCAAGCCTTGGGACGGAGACTTAGGAAACAACCATTGCGTATGAAAGTGGTAAGTGTGGAGAGCCCTTGGTGGCTATAATGTATTCTCTGTCAAACTTTTTCGTGTAATAAGGACTAAATACCAAATTTAGTCAAAATCAGTCCACTCACAACTCAACCAGATATGGAGAGCAACATGTAAAACTGTTCTATATTTTTCAACTATGATACAAACACTGAATTTAATTAAGATTTTTACACTAGTAACTTCATTGTAACAGAATTATGAATGTTGTTTTCTCTGGTGATAGATTTCCACCCTGAAGAACGTGACAGAGCTTCAAGACAACCAGGCCGAGAGACAGGAAGAAGATTATCATTGGCCGTAAGTGTAGAATTTTTTAAAGCAGGAGTGTACAAACTTTGGAACGCGCAAGCCACACTGCAAAGTAGAGTGCTCTTTCTTGGTTAAACTTAAACTTGGCACCCAATTATATAAATAAATTATATCGTTAGCAATATATTCAAGTGGTTAAATAAATTAACATTTATGCAGATATCTTCAAATAGACAAGTGATATTTTCTTGAAGAAATTCATTAGTGTAATTAAATTTCTGTATGTCATATGAACAGTTTATAACCAGCAACCATTAATTTGATATCTGATGATGCTTCTGTTCCATCAAGTCACAAATGTCCGCTCTGATACTATTGGAGGAATCCGTTTATTCACTTTGCAAATGTCTGTCCTTAACTTTGATCTGAAATGCTTAATTTTTTTAAACAGATTATCACATACATGGGAACTTCGAAACAACGCCCTTGCACATATGGCATGTCTGCAGCGATGAGGGGCATTTTTATTTTTAGGAAGGTAGAGTTGGTAACATTTCAGAAGAGATACACTCAGAAATTTTCATTCGGTAACTTCTCTGCTTTGCAATTCTCTGTTGTCTATTTGGAATTTTTTGAGAATTACTTCAACATCTGATCCAAGGGATGATGAAATTATTGAAAAAGATGTTTTCTTCTTTCTACCCCCCCTTGAATTCAGATTTGAACTCTTCTGTGAAAGTGCCAACAGTAGGTGCATTGAAATACAAAGATTTAGCTCCCTCACTTAAATTTGAAGGGTGCAAATTGGATTTGCTCCAAGATAAACCCATTGTAAAGAAAATCATTGCTGTGAACACTGAATTGGATTTAGATCTCTCCTCCAATATCATAATTATGTGACGCATAAGTGTAAATGTTATCATTCTGGTCCTAGGATCACAAAAATGAGCTCGAGGTAGACGATGACCCTGAGGTGGACGATGACCCCGAGGTGGATGATGAGCTCGAGGTGAACGATGAGCTCAAGGGAGGCAAAGTGAAATGTCTCATCAAATCGCTGAAGGCCGGGATTAAAGAGCGACGTGCAATGAACAAAGACTATATAAGTCGGAAGCCTGTACTTACTAGAAGGTTTCCACTATCACATATGTGTCTTAAGGCCATGAACACACCATATGATGATCACATGTGGCATTGTTTTCTTCATGATTAATGGAACAGGGGATTTCCAAGTATGATTTTATGAATTCTGTCACTACATGTCCCTTTAACGTGGAAATAGGGTCCTGTAGTCTGGTAAAAGTTTCTAATTCCTTCCTGTCTCTACCTGCAAGGTAACTGATGAAGGACGCAGCAAGTTCCTTTGATCAGTTGGTCAATTCTGAATAGTTGTTTCACAACTCAAGCTGAAAGACCTAGGTTTGTTGTGTTAGTCTTAGGTTACACTGAAAGCTATTGTTGTAGGTTTGAATGCCTTCCAAGGGATGCGTGTTTATGTGCATGTTACTTCAGCAGCAAGCAGATTCCTTATTCACCGCCATAATTCTCGCAATATCTTCTTCTCCCCAGGCGCTACAGCCCGGAGTGGGCTTTGGCCTCCCTAATTCTCCCAATGTGTGGACAGGTTATTCATTCATCCAGACAAGCTAGTCTTAAGACTTATGGAAAGAGATTACAAAGTGCAATCAAACTCAAGAAACCTACATAGAGTGATAGAGTGCTCCAATGGATATATGTATATGAAACGACTCTTTATATGAGTCTTGGTAGATGCAAATTGCTTGTTCAACAGAAAATACAAGTTATCAGTTCTTGGGTAAAGGCAAACACCCTGTTAACTTGCAACATCTTTAACAAGCCATGCATCACAGCTTCTGCACAGTCCACCCATGTTGCAGTAATAAGTACAGCTATCGGGGTTTAAATACCTTATTCCCATACAATAAAGGTCAATAACAACCCATAAGGCAGTGATTAAACAGGTGTCAAAATAAGCCAACTTCATCATTTTTATATATGCTTACTGTGTCAAAATACATGCAAGTTATGCAAAAACCTGAAAATGTTGTACTTTGGATAAAATAGGATGTTATATACTGTATTTCTCTGTGTAACAAACGATACATAAAAAATGGGAAAACACACAAGCACTATTTTGTTAGAAAAGTTCAAATAAAATAAAACAATTTCTGTCATGGTTCTAATTTATTTCTTTAAATTATGTCCTGCTAGTATATCTGAATTGCATATGTACTCTGTCAGTTTGTTAGCTACTTCATAGTCAGTGTTCAGTCTGAAGAAACATTTTCAAAGTAAGAATTGCAGTTCAAAACAGCTGGATCTAGCATGCCTAAAACTTTATCATACTTTTGTCATGCAAATTATAAACTGGAGATGATAATGACAAAAGAATAAGATTACTTTTCTCAAGAACCTTCAGAACTTCTAGTATCTGCTACAATATGAAGAAAAATAAAACACCTTTACCATCTGTACAATAAACAAGGGAGAAATTATTCTTTATTCACTTATTACATATAGAACAAACTGAAGTGCACAAAGGGGCCAAAAATTTCCAAAATAATTGTATTGTCTAAAATGTCACAGAAAAAAAATTAAAAGATTTATTCTTATACACTTTTATTAACAAACAAATAAAGGAACTGTTGAGTTCTTAACATTAGAGACAGGGTAACTTCACAGTTCAGAAGAACTCGTCTTCTAACCTGTACAAAACGAATGATACAATTAACAGAATTCCCTAAACTTGTCTCATAGACTTCCCAAAGATACTTGGTGGGCACTTTGCAAGGAAGTACTAAATATGATTTTACATAATTTTTATCTTACTGAATAATGTCACTTACCACTTTATTTATCATTTACCTATCTGCATGAAGAAAGAAATAATAAAACTGTACAAATACTAATATTACAATGTCATTTCAACACGTGATAAAAATGCTGAGATAGAAGGCAAGAAAATGCAATAAAATTGAAATAAAAACATAAAAACTATAATTTATTTTTTAAACTGTATAAAGTTGCTTAATTCATACAGTACATAATGAAGGACTTCATATATTTATTTAACGTAGAAACCTGTCTCTACGACAAATCACACATTTCTAAAACAGAAATTATCATACAAATACTACAGCACTTTGTATTCTACTCTTACATACCACACAACTGAAGGAAGAAATGAGTGTGAACAAGAAGATTACATATTCCACTGGCCTTTAATTTCATACACTTATGATTATTACAAGATCCTGGTACTGCTATATGTGAAACAGTGGAAGCAGACTGACACATAACTGTATCACGATCTGTTGTTACAATTCTACCATCACAAAATATCATTCACAGTTAAGAAAGTGGTAATCCACCTATAAGTAATTCAAAGACAAAATTACATTGTGGTAAGACACCTGAACATTATTCACTTATCACCTGCAGTAATACTAAGTCATTCTTAAAATTAAGTGCATTAAAATTGCAGTTTAACTCATGTCACTGTTACTTATGTATGATATTGTGACGTGGTGCCGAAAGAGCATACGGTTCACACTGGAAGGGAGGGGCTGCTTAACTCCCCTCCTTGGCTAGTGGACGCAGGCTGTAGGTGTGGCCACCATAGAATGTTCCAGATTGCGTATTCTCCTCCTTAAAAGAACCTTCAAGAAAGCGAATCTTCTAGATCTTTGGCCTGGAACATTCCATGGATTTGCCGACGGCTATAAAGAGTTGCCTCCCTGAGTGTTGGTGGTCTATGGTGGAACAGAAGCAAAGAGTGCAGAAGAGTGAATGAAGTCTTGTGTGGTGGATTAGAAGCGAAGAGTGTGAAGTCTAGAGTCAAAGCAAGAGAGTGCGGAGCCATCGAGCGGTCTGGTGTGGCGCTGAGGGCTGAGAGAGGATCAGTTGTGTGTGTGGAAGAGCACCGGGGTGGCTGAGGAGCCAGTGTGCGTCCAGTGGGGTGCTGCGGGCTATGTGTGTGAGTGGAGAGCGCCAAACTTGGGGAAAAGAACAGCTCGACAGACAGTGTGGACATAGCTGAGTACATGTCACATATCAGTAGAGACAGAGATTTAAAAACTGTAATAAGATAGTTGCCTGTGTGTGTAGACTCTGTAAGATGATTTATTCTCAATAAATCAAGGTTGACATAGAGCCCATAGCCAATAGTCAATAGATAATAGGCATCGACATCACAATATGATGAAAATTTTTACAGTTAGTTCATGCCAAAAAAGTTTATTAACTACACAGGCTGCTACATAAAAATACAGAGAAAATACCTGATAATAAGGCAGTGAAAGTGGAATACACCAATTTACCACTTTTGTGTTAAAGGGTGATCTGTCTGGGTATAGATAAACATAAAACGTGGAAATAAAATTAATGGTACAAAGCTGTTGCATGTATGGCACTTGAACTTGGGATCTTGTAATGTGGTTCTTGCAGCATATCACTCAAAACAAACTAAAGAAAATGTCAGAAGCACAGCAACAAATAAACTGTGTCCTGTTTGCAAAGTGTTGGAATGTAACAGTGGAGCAGTGAGAGTTTTGCCGTGTGTGTGGTATGCACCTTGTCTCCATAATGAAGAAGTTAAGTCCAAGACATTAGCATGGCACACAGTGACACATGACAAAGTATAGCCCCCTTTCACGCATGTTTGCAACTGTAAGCTTTCCCATGTCTGGCTGTCTCTATGTATAAGCTCTAAAAAGGATGAATGGATTTTCATATAATTTTATGTTGAGAGTCATACTAAAATTAATTGGTATATTATTTTGGTTAAAACAAGACAGTAACATGAAAACCTGTGTGTGGAAATGATTGGGTAGGCAATCCTCAAACTACCTTGGTTACCATGTTTAAAATAGGTACATGTTACTACCACATTGGAAACCTCCAGCTATGTCACCAGGATCAAAGGCCAAAGTATGTGAATCCATGACATGGTGTGGCTATGGTGCAACCATTTATTGACCTCCAAGTTCACCAAACATGAAACTTCCCAGTTACTTTGCTTGGGAGTTAATGAAAAATATTGTGGCAGCCGAGCAACACGGACATCAATGACCTGACATCAAAGACTTCTGCAGCTTCACAGAAAATCATAAAGAGAGAAGTTGAATGATGTGGGAAAGTTTGGCTTCGCATTATAAACTGTGCTGTGTGCATCAGAAACAGGGAAGACAACTCCAAAAGTCTCATCACATTTTCCAACTTGTGTGTGCAAAATGAGCACTGGGTCATAAAAGTTAACAGATATTACTTTAAAATGTTTTTATTTTTCTCATACCCAAAGAGATTGCTCCGTACTGAAAAACTGTAAAATGTTTGTTTAGGCAATTTGTAATCTTAATGTTCACTGAATTATGTGTCAGACAAACATGTTTAAAACTGACCTTAAGTGGACTGCAGCCATGTGCTTTGCCAAACATGGCAAGAAATGTGAAAATGAGGAAATCAAGGAGTTACCAAATTAGAGTTATAAGAAAGCTAGTCAAAAGAGTAAATAAACCAGTAACAAAGTCTGCTGTCCCTTCAGTAATACACATAATAAAATACATTCATTCAGTGGATTCCTTTGCTACTACTGGCTCGTCTTCATCATGACTTGAAGTGTGCCACGTAAGCCGCTCTTCATAAAACTGAATCACAATCTGCGGGCAGCGCCCATTGGCTTGTCTTGCAGGTACCAAGTCAGCTTCATCCGTTCCTTTCCTGCAAATAAAATATATCAGATATATATGCTGCCAACCTGCCTGCTCACAAAGCAACACATGCCACAGTGAACAACAGAGAATGAGATGTAAGCTACGTGTTTCAAAAGTTTGCAGTTATATACTTAACAGGTGAACTTTTACTAAAGAAGCCAAACAATGGGCCAAAGGGGCCACTTAACACATCCAAATAATTTTAATTAAAATTATAACGTACCACTTCATAAGAAACATCAATTCTCCACTTGAGTCGGTTGCTCCAATAATCTTTTCAGGTTCCAGCCCACGGTCAAATCCTCTTGGTTTATTATCTTCCTACCCCAATAAAATGCATACATTGGTAAGTAAAAATAAGTACATTATGATAATTTTCATATCAGGAATAAACTTCAAATGAAATACATATAACTGTTAAAAAAACATCAACCAACAAAAACTTTGTATGTCCTAATGGGATTTTATTATAATGCTATATTTAATTTAAATCAGTCATTTTGAAAAGGGCCTTATTTCATTTTTGGCGAAAATGAGCTGAGAACATCTTTGTATTCTATGCACACAGATACCTGTTTCTGCAAAGATGGCATCAGTCCACGCACAAAAGTAGGGCTACTAAATGCTGACCGCCTGACACTGCTCTTGAAAGGGCCTTATTCCTCGGACAAGGTTGTTTCTAAGGTGAACTGATGCTCATGACACCTAGTGGATGTGCAAGCAAAGTTACATTCCAACCACTTTCTTACATGCATTTTAAATACAGTGTGTTAAGCCCTAGTATTATTGTATCAGTATACATTGAGACTTGGAAAGTTCCTTTGACTTTCATGTGATGGCAACACCCACTGTTCTCAGCTACGAGAAAGCTTATTCAGAATCAATGGCTATTTATGTTCTAATAATGAGTGACATCCGTTGTTTGGTGTATCACATTGCAGATGAACACAATATTTATGACATAGTATAATGTAACAGGGATAAAGATGGTAACGGAAAAGATAAAATTTAAAGTTTGTTTCAGATATTCAAATATTGTTGCCATTGTTGGTTTGTAATTAAAATACTAAAATAATATATGATATATATATATACATACATCATGATAAGAAAATGTCATAGTAACTGGAGTTAAGAAAGAGACAATACTGTTCGTGGTTCAGAATGATTCTAAACAGTTTCAAATACTACTGAAATGATTAAGGCACTATGGTAAGTTTAATTATGGAGATTGTGAAAAAGTGGCATAATAAAGTAATTCCATTAAGGAAGTTATACAGCATATGTCTTTCTTAAAGAAAGGGTTCTTATAAAATTTTCAAAAATGTTCTTTTAAATACAACTGGTCATTTATAAACAGAACTGGAAAATGATACTACAACTCTAGCCAATTATTCTGTGGTTTGCCATGGTTAACTAGGCTTCATAAATGCGGTAAAAAATTGTTTTCCTTTGTTTCTGAAAACTTCAATTATAGTGGTAAGGTCCTTTTCATAATGACTGATTTATTTAAGAAAAACTATAAACCAATTGTCAATCAGCATTCTGCACTACTATATGATGGGCAATTCTGCTGTTTTACTATAAAATGCTATCAAGACACAAGCTCTTTTTTGAGCTGGTCTCACAATACCATGATGATGGAGACAGTAAGTTCCTATGAAATATCAGTCAATATCTACCACACTACACAGTGCTACATTCAAGAACACAGCTATCTTCATACTCATCACTGCTGATAACCTCAAATCACATACATTATTAGTGTTATATGATTTTGAGCAACTGAAGGTGACAAATCATAAAATATGTGCAGAATTATTGAGACAGCATCTGTAAGTTGGTGCAGAAATTGGAACACACGAGTTGGACAGAAAGAATAAAAGAAAACAGCTACTTCAGGAAAACTGACAAGTAGCTTTGGAAAACCTAACTTAGGTATCAGAACTGGTGCCAGGTTAATGTTCTTAAACTAGAGCTCATGGCAGACCATGAAAGGCATTGGTTGCTTAATAGAGCAGGACAGTGGCCATGGAAGTCAGAATCTGCCAAGGAGTGAAATGGCAAATGGCAAATTAACACTGGTTCAGTCCAAAATCTGGTCCATAATGAACTTGGATTAAAATTTAATTTGCAATCTACTGCAGCAAAATGATACATTATTAATTTCAAATAAAACTTTGACAGGATGCATTTTGACATTCATGACAAAATACACATACAAAATGCTGCTATTGTATTAAACTGCTCTATTTCAACACATAATTCATACACACATTTCCCACTAGTTCATGATAAAAAAAATTCTCCAAAACAGCAAGCAACATGCGTGGTTAACCGATAAACAAACATATCTTATCTTCGTTCATGAAAGTTCTTTATGCACAAAACTATGTTACATTCAATGACACATTTTCATTAACACAAATCCTTAAAAAAGAGACATCAATCATATATTCCAACATGATCTCAATATCTATTTTCTCCCTAGACATTCCTGTACCCAAGTGCTCCTGATATCCCTCTCTAATACAGCTGCCTGGCTAGCTTACTTGCAGATCCAGGGATCATCATTGAGGTCATCAGACTGGTCCACACCCTGGCTGGTTTAAACATTATTGCATGGTGCTCCCTAGCTTACAGCTCCTTCTCTCTTTACCTGGCCCATCCATCAGAAATGCTTCCCTTTTTGCTCATACCGTCTTAACTCTTTGTTTCTATGTCATCAGAGGACTGTCCTAAAGCCTCACAGCATCAGCTAGTCACTGGTAAGCCATGTCTACACTCATGCGCTTTCATTTTCAACTTTCAATTCAACTTGCGCTTCAACATTCAATTCAACTTTCGTTTAGGGCATGCCTTTGTTGAATGCGTCAAAGGCATGCCCCTAGCTGTCCACACTACGCTGCCATTTGTCAGGCATTTTTGTTAACAGGAGAGAGGAACTCAGATGCAACTTTACTTATCAGCATAAGTGCAGCATATTTAGTTATCACAGGTGCAAGAAAAAGAAAAGAGCAACGGCGGCGACGCATATGGATGAAGAATTATTTAAAGAAACGGAATTTTGGAATTCTGAAGGATTTGGAAGTCGATGAAGAGGTTCTATTTAGAAACTTTACACGAATGTCCAGAGTAAACTTCAACACGCTTTTGGAAATAGTTGCGCCGAAAATCGCAAAAAAGAACATTCACTTCAGAGAAGTGATACCTGTTGAGCTTAGCTATAACGCTGAGATTTTTAGCTACCGGTGATTCGTTTGCGTCCTTAATGTATTTGTTTAAGTTTCCAGGCAATTCATTTCAGCAATGCTGCCAGAGGTTCTGAAAGCTGGACTTCATGATTATGTCAAGGTAAGTGGTTTTATTAAATTCTAAATAAATTATTATAAATTATATGTACATTTATTTATTTTTTATGTCACATTTTATATGTTTGCATATACATATGTTTTCATAAATGTGAATAAATGATATGAAATGTTAACGGAAAATATTAACATAATTACTTTTTTGAAAAAGATAGAAATTCTTGAATGCCATCGTATGAGTAGATTGTGGCGAGATTACTGAGTACCCTGTTGCATTATCATATGTAGAAGATGACTACAAAAACTGCTTTAGAATGTCTGATGAAAACGTAAATTATTTGCTCGAAAAAGTAAGACCGTTCATTTTGAAACAAGATACTGTGGTGCAGAATGCTATAACTCCTGAAGCACGTATTGCAGCGACTCTTCGTTTTCTCGCCAGAGGACGGTCGTTTGAAGATCTCAAGTTTGCCACGATCATATCACCTCAAGCCTTGGGTAAAACCATTCCAGAGACCTGCAAGGCTATATACAAGGCCCTCAAACAAGAATATTTGAAGGTAAGGAAAATCTAAATAATAATAATAATCCCGGAAATAGCTGCTGCCCTATGTACCTTAAGGACAAGGTCTGTCTCAGGTACATGGAAGTACACATCCCATAAAGTGGTGAAAAGATGGGATAATATTAATAATAATAATAATCCCGGAAATAGCTGCTGCCCTATGTACCTTAAGGACAAGGTCTGTCTCAGGTACATGGAAGTACACATCCCATAAAGTGGTGAAAAGATGGGATAATATTAATAATAATAATAATCCCGGAAATAGCTGCTGCCCTATGTACCTTAAGGACAAGGTCTGTCTCAGGTACATGGAAGTACACATCCCATAAAGTGGTGAAAAGATGGGATAATATTAATAATAATAATAATCCCGGAAATAGCTGCTGCCCTATGTACCTTAAGGACAAGGTCTGTCTCAGGTACATGGAAGTACACATCCCATAAAGTGGTGAAAAGATGGGATAATAATAATAATAACAATATTTTTATTTATTCAAATTTATACAAATTACAAAGTAATTCCTCCCTCAAAAAACATTTTGCATTCTTATGTACTTTGAGGTACTTACATATAGCACACTTCTTTAAGGGATAAAATATTTCTAATTGTAAATCCTAGTGACTGTAGTTAGTTTCCTGTGGAAATAAAGTTTGCAAGTCTGTTCTCGCGGGTACTGTTCTGGGGAGTGTACTTGATAATTGGAATGACCTGGTATTGGTGATGGGGTTGGGTTTTAGTAGTTGGTAGAGACTGGAGAGAGTGTAGTTGACATGCTGTCACCAGATGTATACCCATAATCAGAAATAAAAGTGCATGCCGTAAGACGATTCATGAGACCTTTAAACAGAATGCCATTGATCAACTTGTCAGCAGCAACATCCCTCTGAGTGGCAGGCATTCGACGCAGTTTTGCAGCATACGTTTTACCTAGGGTGTCGTATTCATCATCCTGTTGGTTAAGTACACCCACTGTTCTTTTAATAATGTTTTGGCTCTGTTCTTCTGCAGCATTGACAGCTGTAGATGTTTTCACGGAGGTTTTCATCCTTTTCTGAGGTGGAGGCTGCAAAACCATTTCCGAAGTTCGTTCGCCTTCATCTGACACCTCGCCTTGTCTTGCTTCATCCTGAAAGAAAACAAAAACTTAACTCTAGAGTGCATGAGCCGGGTCGTGAAATTCACATTCCCGGTTGCTTTTTCTTTTTTAATTACGTAATAAAGGCAAATTATTCAACTACGGACTGTTTCTGAACTAACATTGTTATTACAACTAAATGCTGGTTTCTAGCTTGAATTTTTTTTCCCCAGTTCCCCACCTCTTCACAAGAATGGCAAAAGATTGCAACAGATTTTGAATCAATGTGGAACTTTCCCAATTGTGGTGGTTGCTTGGATGGGAAGCATGTGGCTATTGTTAAACCTGCTGATGAATGGTCATACTACTTCAACAACAAGGGATACCATAGTGTTGTTTTGTTGGGATTTGTGGATGCAAACCTGGAGTTTATTATGGCAGATATAGGATGCAACGGGAGGGTTTCAGATGGAGGTGTAATAGAAGAGAAAATGTTTCACAGAAAGTTGAAGAATGGTGAACTTGCTCTTCTGAAAAATGATGACACTGTGGGGAATATGAACCTCGTTTTCGTTGCAGATTAGGCTTTTGCACTAAGAGAAAATTTGTTGAAACCCTTCCCCCGTACAGACCTTACCAACGAAAAAAAAAAGTTCAACCAAAGATCCCGCGCAAGACGATGTGTAGAAAACGCATTTGGAGTACTTGCAGCGCGTTTACGTATTATTCACACGACGATTAACTTACTGCCGTCAAAAGTGGATGACATTGTGATGGCTTGTGTCGTTCTACAAAATTTTCTTCGAAGGAGAAATAGAACGCAGTATCCACCAGGGTCAATGCTGGACAGAGAAAATGTGGAAGATGCATGTGTTGTGGAAGGAGACTGGAGGAAAGAGCAACCTCAAGGACGTTTCGATATGGTTTGTAATGTGCGTCAGGTGAAGCCTACTACTGAAGCTTCTGCCAGTAGAGATAATTATGTTCAGTACTTCAACGGGCCAGGAAAGGTGCCATTCCAAGACAGGATGGTGAGCAACAGAGCACTACACTAAAATACGCTTACAGTAGTTACAGTACACTTTTCATTTCCTATGGTGATTTGATAATATATTTTATGAGTGAAGATCCTTAATTCCTACAGTTTATTTTATACAACCTATCAATAGCCCTACCCTTCTACAAAGGTACTTATTACGTTTTAACAAGTTTTCATTACTGATCTGAAATCTATCTACCGGTATTTCAAAATGAAAAACATAAATATTTCCTATGAACTTACCTCTGTTGCTGTCAAAGCTGTTGATTCTAGTCCGCCATCATCATCTTCAGCTTCTACATCCAAATTACTTTTGCTCTTCCGGGGATTTTCTTGGTCTGCCGTGAAAAGAAGCATATCGAAGTACCACAATGTTGGCTTGTACACTTCATCCTCCGACGCACCACTTCTTTTACTATCCCGAACGTGGCACAGTTCTTTCCTAAATGAGGCCCGGATACTATCAACTTTTTTCTTAACGAACTGCAAGTCAGCATCAGGGATTTTCTCCCGTGTAAATTGCACGAGTAGATCCTAGGCCTCATCCCACTTTGCCCTGTTGGAATAATCTGCGCTGCGAACCTTCCACAAAACTGGTAATTCATGGTACTCTTCCAAAAACCTTGTCACAAAGTCTGGACTCATGAACGTTTTGTTCACCATGGAAGCCGACATCCTCTAGTGACAACACAGAACAAGTCGCAAAATCACACTGTCTGCGCGTGTCGATACACAAATCTGGCTCCGGACTCACCACTCGCGTACTACCCAATAGCGAGCCGAGTCCTACCAAAGGGTCTGGCGGTCCCAGCCGGACTCAGCCGAGCCTGGCTCGTGACACCCCACCCACAAACGAGTTTGGCTCAATGGAACCCGAGCAGAGCTGGACTCGCAAGCCAGACTCGTACGTGGATGGGCCTCTTTACAGACTGGCTCCACTATCCCCGATTGTTCCGACTATCCTGACTGCCCAACTGTCTGCATTACTTAGTTTCCAGGTCTTTTATGACATTTAACCACTGAGCTCCGCATAGTCCTGCATACCTTTGTGTCATCCTTTTCTGGGTTTCCTAATATATGCCAAGCCTGCTATGCTGCCATGTTACACCAGCTTTACGACTTATAACTGCTCAACTATTACCGTGGGGTCAATGGTTCGATTACACTAGACAACAAATTTTAATGAGTTGTATATACCAGAAATGAAAATAATCAATTCTTATGTATTTTCGTCTGCTAAATTCAAAAATGGCAATAAAAAAGTTCAGTTATTTCGCGTTTTGAAGATATTTTGTACTTTGTAAAATATCACCAATAAATTCGTCCACATGATATGCAATGTTTAAAAATTTTCACCTACCTTATAGACGTTGCCTTTTGGCCTTTCTTCTGTATATTACCTCAAGGGCATCTCTTACCACCGACCTGCAGTAATCAGCTATTATTGATGCGCTCCATTTCCCCTGATAACGCCTTTCAAGAGTAGAAATATCTTGGTGAAATCATTCGCCATATTCATCATTAACTGATCCACGATTATCACGGAAAAAGTCCAAGTAAGAGTGGAAGAAATGCATTTTAAGAGACATATTGCACTCCATTTTACTGTATGCTTTCAACAATTTGTCTACTAATTTCCTATAGTTTGGTGCCATGTTGTTTCCAAGAAAATTCCTAACAACTGACTTGAAGGATTCCCATGCAATTTTCTCCTCTGCCATCAAAATGTTCATCAACAATCAGGTTTCTTATTTGGGGACCTACGAAAACTCCTTCTTTGATTTTAGCTTCACTTAGTCGGGGAAATTTGTGAAAGAGGTACCTAGAGGCTTTTCCATTTCGGTCCATTCCTTTTACAAAATTTTTCCTCAGACCCAATTTAATGTGCAATGCTGACAGTATTATTTTGCTTTGATCTACCAGTGGTTCACGGACAATATTTTTTGTACCTGGTTCCAAGTTCTGTCGAAGGGGCCACTGTTTAGTTTCATAATGTATATTCCTTACTCGACTGTCCCACTCACACAGGAAGCAGCAATATTTTGTGTAACCCTGCTGAAGGCCTAGTATGATAGCCACTACCTTTAAATCTGCACATATAGACCACTTATATTTGTCATAATTCACTGTTAATAAATTGTTTATTGTTATCGTATGTCTCTTTCATATGAACTGCATAAGCTATAGGAATATATACAGAAGTAGCAGTCGTTTACATGGTTATGTGGTTCCTACCACACCATGGGCACAGCGAAGGGCATAGATTGCATTTTTCCTTTTAGCTACTAACGTAGATTTGTAGAACACTTCAGACAGCAAATATGGGGTGTCCATGCCCTGACCATGTCACCCACTTTGCAACCAAAATAAAGGTGGTTCGCTTTCTTAACGATGGGGGTCAAGTTTCGTTTTTGTGATTTAAAAGTCACTTCTCCACAGATATAACAAACGTTGTTAGGATTATTGACACGTCTACGTGACATTTTGTATATTTTAGTGTTACAAATATCTCATTTAAGTACTCACAATGACGTTTTTGCTGTTTACTACATAAGTATTCCAAGGCGAAGTGAAACACAAAATCCGCACTCCACAAAACACTTGTTTGCCAAACAGAACCACAAGGACAACTGAACCAATTTATTAAACATCCCTTAGGGATGTCCACTAGACCTGCAGGAAGCAATAAAACCTTCTCCACCCTTGTACAGGCTGTTTCTGAAGTAAGTAGTCCATTACAATTCTCAAAATTACGAAAACTGAGCGAAACAGCTTGGTATGAATATCTTTGAAATGTGAACCAATCATGCAAAATGAATGTCATTTTCGTGTTTTGCAGCTCAAAATTATTAAAAATTGGTTATTTTCATCTCCGATATATTTTGGCTGTTGAACAGTGTTACCTATTACTGCCTGCACCCTTTTCCACTTTAGCTGGCATGCCAAAAATAAGTATGTTCATGACAAAAGAAGTTCACAAACTATACTTTAAAAGTCACTTACTTCAACATGCTTTTTCTTGTTGGCATTAGGTTTCTTGTCATCTATAGGAGTGCCAGGTTTCCGCTTTCGTTCATCCTTTTTTGCTGCTTCCCTCTTTTTCCTATTTTCCTCATACTCTGAAATTAAGTCTGGACAATCCAGGTTCTCCTCAGGTTCCCATGTGTTATCTTCACTGTTTGGATACAAACACATAATCTTGTGAATTAGAAACGATCTATGGGTAAGATTTGAGGTTTACACAGCAGTGAGTATGAAGATTTCTGTCTTCTGGGTTGTTGCGCTGTGTAGTCTGGTAGATGTTTACCAACGTTTCAGAGGTCATACTGCCTCCATCATCAGGGCACTGATGACGGAGGCAGTATCACCTCTGAAACGTTGGTTGACATTGACCAGACTACACACCGCAACAACCCAGAAGACAGAAATCTTCGATCTATGGGTACTTGGAGTTCTAAGTGTCTTTGTCTTAATTTAAAACTACTTGCTGTAAATCTTATACTGTCAATTGCAGACAGTATACATGTAGTAGAATATCTAGGACTAAAACTGGAAAATTTTTCTTATAAATTAATTCAGAAAACTTACAATTTACTATAGTTGATAAAAATGTTGGTCCAACCAATTTGTCATCAACTTTTGTCTTTCGTAAAAATGTAATGACAGCGAAAGCAACATTTTACATTTCTTTACATATCTGGCAAGTGTGGGGATCTATAAACCTGTAAGCCTCACCTTTGAATACAACTCTGTAAATAACAGTTTCTAGTCCTGGACAAACCTAAGTAGCTTTTAAAATCAGTATTTGTCAAACTTCTGTGATAGTAATACCACAGATTATTCCAAACACTGACATAAAAAGACAGTCATTACCAACCGAAGACTTAGAAAGGAAACAGTTCTATTTATTGGAACAGTCCAATAAATTATTTTGAAAAGACCTAAAGTGAAGTGATATGAACATGGAACTCGCGTCACTCTGTCAGTGTTGCTGTTCTGACTTATGAAGCTGTGTGGACTCATACGCAGATATCAACAATATCAACAACTTCACTGCTGTTAGAACTTCTCTCATAAATGCCTTGCCTTCCCAGCAATAGTCTTCTCTAACTTCTCCAGTACTCAAAACTTTTCCCTATCTGTCTGAGATCTGCTACATTTCACTGCACCTTCATTTTGTTGTCAATCCTACTGACATGACCCAGAAAAGTAATTAACATTAATTCACATTCTTCTTTAAATTAGGCAGACACATTGATGTCTTTGCTGAACATACATGTGACATAAATAATTGTAATTAATAGAGGCAGAGAAAAGACATACGGACAAATACAAGGTTACAAAAGGCTGGAATTATGATGCCAACTATATGCTTATATCGTTTGCACAGAGCATACAAAATCTACAAGTGTTTTTTTGATCCAGCATGTATTAACAATTTTTTCAGTTATGTATGATGGGCCTAAATGACAGATATATTCTTTCTTTTGGACTTCATCCATCTTTTTTTTTCAGTCTTAAAAACCTTAAAAGTTCTTCTGGGTTGTTGCGCTGTGTAGTCTGGTAGATGTTTACCAACGTTTCAGAGGTCATACTGCCTCCATCATCAGGGCACTGATGACGGAGGCAGTATCACCTCTGAAACGTTGGTTGACATTGACCAGACTACACACCGCAACAACCCAGAAGACAGAAATCTTCGATCTATGGGTACTTGGAGTTCTAAGTGTCTTTGTCTTAATTTAAAACTACTTGCTGTAAATCTTATACTGTCAATTGCAGACAGTATACATGTAGTAGAATATCTAGGACTAAAACTGGAAAATTTTTCTTATAAATTAATTCAGAAAACTTACAATTTACTATAGTTGATAAAAATGTTGGTCCAACCAATTTGTCATCAACTTTTGTCTTTCGTAAAAATGTAATGACAGCGAAAGCAACATTTTACATTTCTTTACATATCTGGCAAGTGTGGGGATCTATAAACCTGTAAGCCTCACCTTTGAATACAACTCTGTAAATAACAGTTTCTAGTCCTGGACAAACCTAAGTAGCTTTTAAAATCAGTATTTGTCAAACTTCTGTGATAGTAATACCACAGATTATTCCAAACACTGACATAAAAAGACAGTCATTACCAACCGAAGACTTAGAAAGGAAACAGTTCTATTTATTGGAACAGTCCAATAAATTATTTTGAAAAGACCTAAAGTGAAGTGATATGAACATGGAACTCGCGTCACTCTGTCAGTGTTGCTGTTCTGACTTATGAAGCTGTGTGGACTCATACGCAGATATCAACAATATCAACAACTTCACTGCTGTTAGAACTTCTCTCATAAATGCCTTGCCTTCCCAGCAATAGTCTTCTCTAACTTCTCCAGTACTCAAAACTTTTCCCTATCTGTCTGAGATCTGCTACATTTCACTGCACCTTCATTTTGTTGTCAATCCTACTGACATGACCCAGAAAAGTAATTAACATTAATTCACATTCTTCTTTAAATTAGGCAGACACATTGATGTCTTTGCTGAACATACATGTGACATAAATAATTGTAATTAATAGAGGCAGAGAAAAGACATACGGACAAATACAAGGTTACAAAAGGCTGGAATTATGATGCCAACTATATGCTTATATCGTTTGCACAGAGCATACAAAATCTACAAGTGTTTTTTTGATCCAGCATGTATTAACAATTTTTTCAGTTATGTATGATGGGCCTAAATGACAGATATATTCTTTCTTTTGGACTTCATCCATCTTTTTTTTTCAGTCTTAAAAACCTTAAAAGTTACAATGTTTCAAAGGATGTACCTTCCTTCACCTTTAGGTAAAAACAAGCTCACAGATCGGGAATAGTCTGGGCTACCGGATCCAACAGAATGATCATCTTATGCCTTTTTACCTGAAGATAAAGAGAGCTTCATCCTATGATATAAATATTTTTTAAGGTTTAAGGCTAGAGCATGTGGACATGATTTCACTGAACTCATCTATATGGATAACCAACTTCGCATTTGATATAAATACCAACTACACATATCCAAATATTATATCAGCAATCAGATAATAGAGATAATTGGTTACATGAGAACTGTTGAAATCAGTGGGAAATTTAAAATACATCCATCCCTCAATTTACAAACATAATTAATTCTATGAAAGTTGTTTGTAAGTTGAAAATGCATAAATGATAATTCCCATTAATTTAATATAAAAAATTCTCTTTTGCTCACTCCCAGAAAACTCGCCCAATATTTTCCCCATATATAAAAATAAGAACACTATCACTTTTCTTATACTTAGTACCTATATAACAATGTTAAGCACTAATGAAGTGTTAAATCAAATATTTACAAAGTACAGCAGTTACAGTAAACTTAAGAACTTACATAAATAAAAATAAACAATTGTATTTACATTTTACTTTATATATGCTTAATTATTATATGTATAATAATCATAAAGAATCAATGATAAGAAATTAACTGGTCCTCAGTCCAGCAAAACTAATGTTCGTAACTTTGAAATAGGTACAAATTGACGTGGTTTGTTGCAATCAATAGTTGTAAACTAAAAGTTTGTAATCTTAACGACAAGTGTATTAATGCAGCAATAATATTTGATAAATATAATTACAAAAGAAGGTCTTTCCAGTTTCTAATATATATTTTAATAAAGCTCACTATAAGAATAAGTAATTTTAAATGAAGAGTATTAAGTTTAGAGGCTTCTTTTAGAGATAGCAGTTTAACTCTTTTACATTTAGGCAGCAATGCCATTAGTATTTCAGAATAAATTATAAACACTGCCTTAACAATTACAGCAATACCTGAAGACAATCTGTTTGTAATTTGTCCTGCATATCAAATTAATAAAGAAATTTTATGCCTAAAAATAATGTCTACCATATCAATGAAGATGTTCAAAATTGTCTTGCCAAACTGCAACCTTACATATTCACATCCAAATAACATAAACATTCAGAGAATCGAAACTTTACCCTGAAACAAACAACACTGGAAATGTATAATCCATACTGGAATATACATATGAATTCATTGCAAATGCTGAATTACTAATAAAATATTACATCAGATATATTATATAGACAAGTTTAGTCTGTAGCTTTCAAAGGTCTCATTGCAAAACTTTTTTTTCTAGACATCTATTTCAGATGCTTCTGTTTACTCTATTAAAATTAGTTTATTTTGCTTACTTCCATTCCATCATGTCATATGGAATCATTTTCTGGGGAAATTCAACGGACAGCAAAAAAGCATTTTACATTCAAAAGAGGATCATTAGAATAATGGCAGGCACTAAAAGGAGAGACTCTTTTAGGGAATTATTTAAGAAGTTTAATATTCTTCCACTACCCAGTGAATTCTTGCTCTCACTATTATCATTTGTAGTGGATAACATGGAAAAATTTCAAACAAATACAGATATCCACAATATAAGAACAACATACAGATTCAACCTTGATGTGCCAATTTCTAACCTCAGTAAATATCAAAAAAGGAGTTTACTATACTGGAATTAAGTTATTAAATAATAGTCCACCTATTAATTAAAAGCACAAGTTACTCTTTATACAGGTAGTCCTCGATTTACGCCGGGGATGCATTCCTGGACGAACCGGCATAAACTGAATCGTGTAAATTGAAACTCTTTTATAATGTAAATCATTGGGAAGTCAATGACATGCATTCCCAGCACCCAAACATTGATGAGTAATATAATGGCATTACATTTACAGCTCTGAAATAACGTAAATAAAATAAAGGGAATTTAAAAAATATATTTTATACACTTACAATTGGCGATGGTGTGATGAAGCGGCATTAGTTCTCTGACGAAGTCCGTGGTTGAGGATTGTCATGTTTTTTAAAGGCATGTAGTCTGGACTGTCGTGATTTCCATTCATGTAAGACGCCGATCTATAGAAAATCGCGTAGTAAGAATAACCCCAGGACCTCCGCAGAGATTAAATTAGTCCTTTGAAAGTGTAAAGCGCCAGGAATGAAACTGCATAAGAGCAAACTCGAATATGCAAAAGTTTTCATTTCACAAACAGCTTTTACCGATTCAGCGATCTCATTGGAGCAAATTCGTCTTAATGAAACATACGTAATTGCAGAGATGACTGTATTTATAATTTTTATTCAAAATCAGCGATGTAAGAATTACGATTTAGTATAAGAATCAGTATGAGAAACATTGTAAAACGTTATAAACAATAGTAAATTTTTTGTTTAACTTTTTGACTTTCTGGTTTCAAAATTGGCATTATTCTGAATCAGCGCAAATCGAGGGCTACCTGTATTTGTGCTATGACCTGTTCTACATCCTTGGCTTAGCCCTATGAAGGATCTATGGAATGTAAATAAATTATATTCTAATCTATTACCTTACAGAATTAAATATACAGATTTTATCCTGTAGTCCATTGAGAAGGCATAAGTATATATTTACTTTTCTCCAAATTTATGTCTACAACATTTACCTTTTTAGTATGTGATTTCCTTCATAATATTTATTTTAAAAATAAATTAATAATAGCACAGACCAGAAGCTGATTTAATGTATACACAAAATAACCTCAAAACTGACCTATGTTATATATAGGCACGTAATAGTGCATACTGAAAATTGTACTTCATTAACTTTCAAACTAGCACAAACTGAGCCTACTATATCAACTCTAGCATTCATAAGTCCCCAGTCATGTTCTGGTTTATGGCTTGGTATGGTAATTTCTTTCTGTATGCTCTTTCTTCAAAGTTTAGCCAAAGATGGCTGTAACATATTGAGACAAGGAAATACATTCCCTTATTCTCCCCTGATTATTCATTCATCAAAACTTGCCCAAACAGCCTATAAAGAATTTTTTAGCATGGCCTGTTGGAAATATGTATAACACTAATTCTTGAAAAGAAATACATTGTCCAGTACCATATCTCACTATGGTTAGACATAAGTACACTGCTATCTCAAGAACAAACATGCAATGACGTAGAGTTACAAACTGCATACAGTCCACGACTGTAATTTTGAGACTTGGAAGGAATGCAGTAAGTCTGTAGCATTAAAGGCAGATGCTATCTTTCCTCCTTCACCCCACAAGTCTCAAGATTACAGTCGTGGACTGTTGTTACCATAATGGCAGATATTTTTATTAATGTATGACTTAGTGAATACTGACTACTGTATGGTCTTGTGATAGACTGACAAAATGATGGAAGTGCTACATATTCATAAAAACACCAGAAAAAGATTAGTTAAACTAAACATGCATGTTATTTGAGAAATTACTGTTCTAACTCACTTGGAATATCCTTTCCATTTGAGCAAGTATTCTACTCTGCCATTTCGAATCCTCCTGTCCAGAACCTTTTCCACTGAATATTCCTCTTCCCCCTCATCTCCTTCACCCCCTGGTGCGTCTTTGTCCTTAGTCTTGCGACTCATACTGCTAGGGCCTTCCACTAATATAACATATTTAAATTACTTTATATAAATCAACACTTGCTGTTGACAATGATTTTCTGAATTGTGAAGCCATGTAGCCACAAAGAGTCACAACCCAAATGACCATCATCAATATTTTCACCACTGTGAGAATTCAAATCACACTTATTGGGTGAAGTACTACTTGTACATCACAAAAAGTAGAGAGTACTGAAAATCCATTACTAGTTTAAGCATTCCACTTAACTGTTTAAAGCATTCCCAAACTTACTTTTAGACATTTTGTTGCAGTTGGTACTGTATCAACACAAATCTGATACAATGTTTTGTAGTTATCGAAGATGCTTGACACGTCACTCAGCAATGCAAGCAATTCCGAAATAACCTACTGCTTATTTACAGCGTCTGCAAAATAAAACAATTTCAAGAATGATCATACATTCTCTTACGTTGTGGTTACAAGTATAACTCTATTTCGTTAGGATATATTTAAATCCACTGTATGAATTCAAATTTGAGCGACGACAGGGGCATAAAACTTTTCTCATTTTTCCAAATGTCCATACGTTTGAAAGTAGGGCCACCTTGTGCCATAAACATACCCAACCTACAAAAACGTCTTAAACAACAGAGGGAAATGTGAAAGTTAAACTCTGTTAAGCGCATATAAACCCAAACATATGCCTTTCTCTCTGGAAATTCACTACTTAATATACTCTGCATTAATATTAAACCCTACTTACTTAGGAGTGGTAATAAGGCATACCTCAAATACGAATTGCCTGATTATCCCCTCAAAAATAACCTAAACTGACTACAACATGGCAATATTCCTGAGCGCTTGGCGGGCTAAGAATGCTGGGTAATATGACTTGTTTTAAATCAAATATCGTTCCCTACCTTATAACATTTGTTTCATATTTCCCTTCAAGCAACGTGACAAAGTACCACCATATAATTAAGTAATGAATCTTTAATTAATATACACGATTCAAAGAGACATTTTAATAAAAAGACAAGCTACAACAATTTCTTGTGGAAATAGAAGCATGCTATTAACTGATTGGTTACAGAAAATATTTATTTGTAAGTTGGATAGCATAAAAAACGAAATGGAACAGAGAAAACGAATGGAAAAAGGTGACAGTGGAACCACGGTTCCGGAGAATCTGACGTAAATACGTCTCTGTAATGTAATATAATAATTCTTATATAAGATAAGTACTTGTGATATTCTAAAACGTTTTTACCAGCACAAAATTATCTAGTCTACGACTCACTTCTACAACCGATTCACAGCTCAGCTCTTTCCGCAATAACGAAAGCGGTTTGTTGACGGCAGTAATGTAACACAACAAATCCGAGTAAACAGATGACGTTTCTTAGGTAACATATCCCATTGCCATTAAGTTCTGGACCCAGCTTTCCTGACTGGAAATATGAAATTATGCAAACATTTGTAATGTAGTCTCTTTTCTCCAGTGCCAAGGCATGGGCTGTAAAGGTTGGCCAGCTGTGCTGTATCGACTGCCAAATGCTGTGAAAATATTTTTTGTGCAACAAACATTTTGTGTAAAGTGGTTTCTGCACTTCTGAAAGGGTATGCCTGAACAGAGTGGCAGTTCCACATGCTTAGATTTATTTTCAGTAAACCCCATAACCTGAACCTTTCCAACATAACTCTTCTTTGAATTCGTGGTCCTCACTATTAACCACTGAACATAACCTTTGTGTCCTACTACCCACTAGAACCAATAGCAGGCTTCTGTTTCCTCTTTTACTGCAACATCTGTGTATTTTTTGTAGCCTTTTTAATATGTTTGTGTTGTTTTTATTTTATTATGTTTTGCTATAATTTTACAATACTTTATGTAAAGTGCTTATATTGTTGGATTATCACGGTTGTTCCTGCTGTGTGTGCATGTATGTATATACTTGTGTTATGTTTGCAAGATATTTCTGTTCTTATTGTTGGTATCATTGTTTTTATAAACAGATTCCCAAGTGACACTTCATTATTTTTGCTAAAATTGCATGTTTGTTTCATTGTTTTTCTGTTGCACTGCTTCAGAAGTACTGAATCAGTTGTTGCAGCAATATTATTAATTTAAAGAAACTGGTATCATGGTCATTATGAGAAATGTAGAAGACGAGCTCAGTCTTATTTTATACACAAACATATTACTTGAGTCATTTTGATTTCCTGTTGGCAAAATTTGCAGTATGAAATTGTTCTTAATAATGAGTTCTGTTGTTTTTGACACTTGCAATGGTTGATCATATTGTATACATGATTGTTTATTTCAGATTAATAATGATTGAAGTCATGAAACCTTGCATACTGTGCAGTGTATTGGTATATAAAATCATGCATACAAACAAAACTATTTGCACATTAGATAACACTTTGTGCCAAATGCATTTTGACCTCAAGAGGTCATTATCAGCGGCAAAAAGATGAAATCATTAGTCTGTCTATTAAAACCACACACAACATTTAATTGCACATGAGATGGTGTATTATCTAAATTGAGTTGCTCAGATTGATGTCCACTAGTGTGGTATTACATGAAGTGTGGTTTTATAAAGTGCAACCTTTTATAGTGCTTTATAACAAACCATTGTTTCATGAATTGTATGATTTTAATAGACAGACTGATGAATTAATGTTTTTGCTACTGATGATGACCTGAAGATTTCTGTCTTCTGGGTTGTTGTGCTGTGTAGTATGGTCGATGTTCACCAACGTTTCTGGGGTCATACTGCCTCCGTCATCAGGGCCTGATGACGGAGGCAGTATGACTTCTGAAACAATGGTAAACATTGACCAGACTACACAGCGCAACAACCCAGAAGACAGAAATCCTCATACTCATTGCTGTGAATACCTCAAATCTTACATAATGATGAGGTCAAAACAAATTTGGCACAAAGTGTTATTTAATGTGTAAACAGTTTTGTTTATATGCATGATTTTATATATTGAAGAGTCTCACATTATCATCATAATTTTATTCTGGTTTGAGGAATTTTATTGTGTAGTTTATTCTACCAATTTGTTGAACCACGGGTTGTATGTCATATAAATCGGTATTATTTAAGAAATTGTCTTTCCTCAGGTGGCTGTGGTAAATATGTGAATAGTATTTTTTGTGGAATCTTTTAAGTACTAGGGCAGAACGCTCCTTTCGGAGCTCCTCGGAGGGGCTGGTCAAGTTTTTAAAAAGCAACCAACCCCTTCGGGGGGGGGGGGGCGGG